CAAATCTCCATCCCAAGATTCTTAATCTCGATCTTAGTGTCAATATCTTGCTTCTTCGAGTTCTGTTTTTGGACGCTGTAATGGATTCTCAAGACATCAGGTACCGTGGCGGGGACGACAGAGACGCCGCGACGACGGCTATGGCCGAGACGGAGAGGAAAAACGCGGACGACAACAACAAAGGCAAACGCGATCAGAAGAGAGCGATGGCTAAACGCGGTCTCAAATCGCTGACTGTAGCGGTTGCGGCCCCTATGATCGTGACGCTCTTCGCGGCGTATTTCCTCGGCACAAGCGACGTCTACGGGAGTCGAACCCGGTCCTCGTCGTGGGTCCCACCTCTGTGGCTCCTACACGCCACGTGTCTGGCGTCGAGCGGTCTGATGGGTTTGGCTGCGTGGCTCGTGTGGGTGGACGGTGGGTTCCACAAGAAGCCAAACGCGTTGTATCTCTACTTGGCTCAGTTTATGCTTTGTTTGGTTTGGGATACGGTTACGTTTCGGGTCGGGTCTGGAATAGCCGGGCTTCCGGTGTGGTTGGGTCAATGTGCGGCTTTGTTCGGATGTTACAAGGCCTTTAGTGAGATAAGTCCGGTCGCTGGTAATCTTGTAAAGCCGTGTTTGGCTTGGGCTGCGTTTGTGGCGGCTGTTAATGTAAAGCTTGCAATGGCGTGAGATATGTATCTATATATAAACGCCAATGATGATGATGATCTTTGGTACACGATGATGTAGAGTCGTAAGCGTTTTGTGATCAGTGTTTTGTGATATATACATAAAGATGGTCATTTCGATCAAATCTTGCTTCTCACCGTGGAGTAATAGACATGAACATGAAATATGTTTCTCGATGAAATACATTCGACTATGAGCTTTAATGGTAGTTTATTAGACCTTGGCTCCGAATGGCAATCCGTTTTGGGTGCGATTGGGAACAATGCGATTTGAGAGTGATGCGATTACCCATATTTATATTTTTGAATGGCAATGCAAAACGATTTGAGAGAGATTCAAAAACAAAATTGACATTAATTATATTATCATTTTTGACAAAAAAGTTTTTATCATTTGTTTATATATTCATATTATATTTTTTGAATTTCATAAACACTAGAAATAGCACATAAACTAATATATTATACATATTCGTAAATGTAAACTGTAAACCTGTAATAATGTTTATTTTTTGTTAAAGGATTTTCATAATTGACAATTAAAAGTTTACATAGAAACCATAAAAGCACCATTACAAAAGAAAAAATCAACAGAGAAGATGTGCTAACGATTGGACCAACAAAGCATCCAAAAGATTCAAAGCACTAGCTTCACGGTTAAGGCCTAAGGGTAATAAAAATTAATACCGTCACTTCATTTCAACTCTTTCTCCTGAAATCGAGAAGACAAGTTTTAAGAACAAGATTCAACCTCTGATCCATAGATCATTTAACTAATCTAAAGCATCAAATTCGAGTTATAAACCCAGAACAAAATGTCACCAAAATGATTAAGAAGGAAATTAAATTAAACGTTCACTGAAGCATTTTAACAAATAGTTGTTGTGCATTACATATCTCCCCCTCACAGATTATTAAATCATCTAGTCATGTTACCAATGGATCTGTCACGAGGTGTAATCCTAATATGTTTCACTAAATATAGCAAAAGAAATTAACATACCACACAAATAATGTCGAGT